TTAATAAAGTAAAAAAAAGAGTTGGATTAGAGAATGAAGTAACAAAAAGAGTTGGATTAGTGAATGAAGGTTCAGAAATATCAGTAAAACTAGTACGCGAAATTTTTAAAGAAATGTTTGATAAACATCAAAAAGATATTCTTAGCATAATTAGTGGAAATTTTAAACTAACAAGCGATAGAATTAATGGTTTAGAAAAAGAAAACAAAAAGTTAAAGGCCGAGGTTACAAAAATTAATGAATGATTAAAAAACTTAGAACACACGAATAAAGATATTGAAGAAAGTTTAAACGCCACCCAGGAAATCCAAGAAAAAAAAGTTAATGAACTGGAAAAAAAAATTAAAAATAAAAGTAGTATTAACACCGGTGATGAGGAAAAAAAAAAAGTTAAGGGAGCTTGAGGACAGACTAAGAAGAAACAATCTTCAGATTGATGGAGTGATGGAAAATGAACTTGAAAATTGAAATGACACAGAAAAAAAGGTACTAAATTTGTTTGAAAATAGATTAAGTCTTAACAGCGATATCAACATAGAAAGATCACACAGAACGGGGAAAAAAGAAGAAAATAAGTCAAGAACCATAACTGTCAAATTACTTCACTATAAGGACAAAGTCAAGGTGTTACAGGCGGCTAATAAACTCAAGGGAACGGGAATCTATATAAACAAAGATTTTTCCAACGAAACGCGTGAAATAAGATAAGGTTTACTGAACGAAATGAAAAAACACAGAAAGAACGGTAAGTATTCCGTTATTATTTATGATAAACTTATTGTAAAAGATTTTAGGAAAAAGCAAACCAGCGCTTAATGACATCCTTATTTATAACTATAGTTTAAAACTTCGATTAAACACATTTAATATATTTTAACTATATTATTTCATATTATTTTTTTTTATATTATACTATCAACCTTACTAATGAGTCTAAATACAGCTTTCCAAAACTTAGAATTCAATACATTTCTAAATAAAAAAACAATATTATTAGATAAAGATTCTGATCCTGATATTAACTAATAAAATAATGAATTAATTCGACATATAAATCCAATATATTATGATCTAGAATCTGAGGATCTTACGAAGGAATTGGATATTAATTCGTTTTCAATATTGCATTTGAACATAAGGAGCTTACAAAAAAACTTTGATTCATTCAAGCAGTTTTTGTCTAAAATAAAAGTAAATTTCCAGGTCATTTGCATCAGCGAAACTTGATCTCACGATGGATATATAGAAAATGACTCAAACTATCAATTACAAAATTATAAAGTGGTTCATCAGTTTAGAAACACTGAAAAGACAGGTGGGAGATTATGCATTTTTATAAGCAACTCATAGTTATACAAACATAAAAAAGATTCATGCTCAACTAACAGCAATTACGAGTCGTTGTGCATTGAAATTATAAACAAAAAGTCAAAAAATATTATCGTGTACGCTGTATACAGGCCACCTTCTGGAACAATCAAAACATTTAAAAATTATGTAAAAAAAATATTTAAAACTGAATCAAGATCAAATAAAGCGTATACCTCATTCTGAATTCTTATCATTCTGAACAATTAAATAAACACAATAAAAATACGCAGAAGATGTGGAGCATAATTAAGGAAGTAATTGGGAAAAAAAAAAAGATAGCCATAGCCTCCCAACTAATCTATACAAAAATAACGAATTTATTACAGATAAGTATTAAATTGCAGAAAAATTTAATCAGTATTTTGTTAATGTAGGTTATAACTTAGCATCAAAAATAGAACCCACAGAAATAAAATTTGAATCTTTTTTAAACACCCATTACACCAACGTAATGAGCAATGATGAACTTACAGAAAGAGATCTGTTAGATGCAATGTTCCAGTTAAAACCCAAAAAAAGTTTAAGATTCGATAATATCAGTACTCTTATTGTCATAAAATCAATAAAATATATAACCATTCCACTCTTACACATCTTCAATCTATCGTTAAAACAAGGCGTTTATTCTGAAAAACTTAAAATCGCTAAAATTATACCAGTTTTCAAATCTGGAGATCTCTCAAGTGTTGTAAATTACAGACCAATTTCAATTCTTCCTTGTTTCTCAAAAATATTGGAGAGAATTATGTACAATAGACTTTATTATTTTCTCAATACGAACAATATTCTTTACAACAAACAGTTTGGATTTAAGTCAGGGCATTCCACTGACTATGCTATTATTCACCTTATTAACGACATACTTAAAGCTTTCAATGAAAAAAAGTATACAGTAGGTGTCTTCATAGATCTCAGCAAAGCGTTTGACAGGGTAGATCATAGTATTCTTCTAGCCAAACTATATTATTATGTCATAAAAAACGCAAACATTGCTTGGTTCAAAAGTTACTTAAGTAATAGGAAACAATATATATCGTATGACGAAGGAAAATCAAAGTATATGAGAATCACTTGCGGTATTCCCCAAGGATCGATACTCGGACCACTCCTCTTTATTGTTTATATAAACGACTTGTATAAGTTTTCTAACATTCTAAGTTCAATTTTAATCGCGGATGACACAAACTTATCTTACTCAAATAGTAACATCGACCTCTTACTTAAAATAGTCAATAAGGAACTCGCAAATTTAACTGAATGGTTCAGGTCGAATAAATTATTCTTAAATATAAGTAAAACCAAGTATACTTTCTTTCATAGACTACACGAAAAAAATATTATTCCTTTAAAACTTCCCAATTTATGTATTGATAACTCTAACATAAAAAGAGAACACTTGTGCTCCTTCTTAGGTGTAATTCTCGACGAAAACCTTTCATGGCGTGGACATATAAATACAATAGAGAACAAAATATCAAAAAGTATTGGCGTATTATATAAAGCTAAACAAGTATTAAATCAAGAGTGTTTAAAAAATATATACTTTTCTTTTATTCACTGCTACCTTAATTATGGAAACATAGCTTGGTGCAGCTCCAACACAACCAAGTTAAAAAAACTTCTCAGCAAACAAAAACATGCTATACGAATTCTTTCAAATGTAAACCGTTTAACACCATCAAAAGATCTATTTAGTAAACTAAAGATACTCAATATTTTTCAACTAAACATTTACCAGATACTCATTTTTATGTACAAAATTGATAAAAAAATGACGCCTTCCATATTTAATACCTTTTTTAATAAAATAAATCATTTTTACCCAACCAGTAAAATCTGAACTACAAACAACCCAAAACATATTATATGGCCACAAAATTCTTAATTGCAAATAGACGGCCCAAATTATGGAATACAAAAATTAATAACGATATAAAAAATATTATTTCCCTTCCAAAAACTTCCTAATATTGACAATCAAATAAGTTATTTCTAAATATCAAAAATAATATTATATGTTATATTTATTATTAACTGACTGGTTTGCTTTTTCAGTTCTTCAATCTATAGTTGTTAACTATATTTAACTATAAATAGTTTTAAGTTTAAATGTTTTAAAACTAAATTAAAAAAAATAAAAAGCTTACTCACTATTTACACAATACGACATTTTCTTTTGGTCGTTTCGAGGTTTTTATATTTCGCTTTTCTCTCTCTTTTTTATTTTTTTATTTTAAAACTTGGTTTTTGAATTTGTATTTTGCTATTTGTTTCTTTCTTTTTGTTATTGTCTATTTAAATTACAATTTAAAGGTTTTTATTTAAAAAAGTATAAATGTATGTATGTGTGTATATGTGTTTGTGTATATATATGTATGTGTGTGTATGTATATAGGTATGTATATATGTATGTATAAATGTGTGTATATGTATTTGTGTGTGTGTATATGTATTAAAACATTATATATTGAAATGTAAAACACGATTTTAACTACGGGGCTTAGTGATAAGACTACTGTTGTCTTCTTTTTGCTCCTGCCATGTAAATTCAATTTATACGATTCATTATTGTAACAATATTTAAACGGCAAATATATATATATAAAAAAAAAAAAACCTGGTACTCAAAAGTAGCAGAATAATATGCTGATTTTGAAAATGTTTGTTTTATTTTAAAACTGAGGAAAAATAGTGTCGTTTTTTTTATTATAAAAAAAGCCCCGTCTTTATCAAAACTTGGGTTTTAAGGTAAATTTATTATTGATAAATCAAGCATTTTTTTCTGCTTTTTTTGAGTCCAAGGTTTAGAAAAAAAAATTCATATGGTTTAGAAAAAAAAATTCAAAAATATTAGGATCAGTCAAGAATTTAGAATCCAAAGAGGAACCTTAAGATCTCATCAAAATCAAAAAATATTTTTTTACTTTCATCTTATAATTAATAGACATCGATTCGTGTCTAAGGAATATTGATTTTTAAACTTTTTTTTTTTTGCTATGAAAATCGCTCCACCCTAATATATACTTTTTAAATATGAATCATTTTAATAAATATTTTTAAAGCAACTTAATAATATATATTTTATATTTGTCCATGTCTTTGACGCAACAAAATGTACAACGACGGGCATGCGCATTAAAGGATTTTATTAAGCATTGGGGTAAGATATTGACAATAATTCTGATTGCAAATATAACACAAAAAAAAAAAGATCTTTATAAATTTATTTTTATTACGAAAAACTTTTCCGTTTATTGAGTTGTGAAATAATTTCACCGTTATAAATAAAATTCTAAAATAAACTAATATTAAGGTAGTAAAGATAAAATAAACAAATTAAACATCTTTAATTTGAATATTTTGTCTTAATAAAATATTATAAATATATTTATGTCAAACCTATTTTCAAACTAAGAAAATATTTAATAAACAGAAAATATTATTAAGATGAAGGTTCTTTAAGCAAAAAAAAAAAAAAAAAAAAAAAAAATTCAATATAGTAAAAATTAAGCGAGAGTTCATTGGAATAATAATAACAATAATAGTAATAATAATATAATAATATTGTTAAAAATATTAAAAACAAAAGAAATGATTAAAACGATAACAAATTTGTTTAACAAGAATAACTTTCGCAAACTAAAATAAAATATAAAAATCAATAAGCTTTTAAGGTAAACTGCAGTTTAAAGTTTTTTTAAAGGGTATTGTTAATTAAAGTCATTAGTTTTAAATGACTGAATCGGCGCATTTGTAACGACAATTGATTAACATTGCTGATGCATACGCACGAAAAATCAGCTAAAACTATTGAATCTTAACTACAGAAATGCTGCAAATGAAATCAAATCGATTAAGTCAAAACAATTGAACAAAAACCAAAGCATTATTCTGATGTTATTGCGGCCAGCTATTAGTACGGATCATGTGTATTAATCGACAAACATCTAATGTTATAGCAACAACAAGAACAAAAAGTCCAAAATGTAAAATGTGAGTCCAAATGGTTGCTGGTAAAGGCTGTTTAACATCAACAATCAGGTCAGCATTCTAAAGTAAATTTGTTAAAATAAAACATTAAAAACACATCGCAACTTATAAAACTTAGGCAAATATTTTGACTTTAATGTACTGGTTAAGTTTATTTCTAGTTAGATATACTTACATCTTGGTAAAGACCGCTTATTGCTCCTTTTGCTAATGGAGTTCGTAAGCCAGGTGAAATCACTTCAGAATTGTTGACTAAACGACCTTTTATGAAATGTTTTCCAGTTTCATAAATCTCTACTTCGACCAGTTTTCCCATCAAATCAGGTTCAGCTTTGATAAGAACCTTAAAATAAAATAAATAAATATATATTACTTTCTCTCTCACTGTGTGTGTGTGTGTGTGTGTGTGTGTGTGTGTGTGTGTCTGTGCGTGCATATAAATATATTTTTAAACTTTTTATATATACCTCGCTTCTTTAAAGACCACACATATTTAAATAATTTTTTTTGTTGATAATATTAGGGACCTATCTGATACTTTAAAGGACTTGAATAAAAAATTAATTTAGGTCACCACTAAAAATATTTTTTATTCAAAAATTTTTTAAATTTAGTTTTATTATACAAAACACACTTATGGGGTGCCAGCAAATTATTTCAAAAAAAGTTGTTTTTAAGGAAATAATATATTATATATACTAGATCTTTAACTTCGATCCGAAAAGTGAAGCTACTTTTGTAGGACACAATGTAGCGGAAGCCATTTCTAATTAAGGCAAAAAATATATATTCAACTATATGATATTATAAAATTTTCAACAACAAAATGGTCAAACGTTGTGCTGGGTATAGCTGTTCTAATACATGAAGGTAAATAACGTTTTATAGATTTCCACTAAAACAAGCAATTAAGCAAAAATTAGAAAATCTTATCAAAGCGACACATAATATAAAGAATAGATATAATGGATGAATAGGAGGGACGAATATAATGGATAGAGTTCATTATTTAAAAGGAATCGATCAAGAGCACAAAAATTGTGGCGCAAACAAAAAATTATAAGGCCAATATAACAGATAGCCTTTATTTATTTCAAAGTTATCCGTTATATTGGTATTTTTTAAAAGTGTGTGCTGCGTATGGTTGTTTTAACTTGTGCTAGTGGTGTAGTGGTAGAGCACTCACCTGGTAGTGAACCAAGTGGAAAAGTTCAATCTCCACCACGTCCCTGCTAGTACCTCGCTAACTTGTTTCTCTGCGCAGCAGCCTTATTCGTCAAGGTTCGTGTTTCGGAGTTATAGAGTTGAGAGAGGTTTGTAACCAATATTAAAATAGCCTTCTTGACTGTAGTGGCCTTCATGGCCTTGAGGTAGTGAATTAACATAAAAAAATAATAACAAAAACTGATACATAAAATGAAATAACATATCTTTTCATAGATTTCTAGTTCTTATACAAGAATTTCGAAAAAAGTGGACAATCACATTTAACATAAGAAGTTTACCGCATCAAAGCACTTACTTCTTTGCAGCAATCATTTTTTACCTTCCAATTACAATTTTTGTACAAACCCTCCTAAATCTGACCTAAAGATTTATGTCGTTCCTTCAATTTAATAGGAAAAAACCTGACGAGAAAATATCCAGCTTGTCGCCTACCTCATGCTGTAAATAATTTTTCTTCCATTTCTAAAGTTGTCGAGAATGAGTTAAAAAGATTAAAACTGATGAAAGAGTAGTTTTTTTTTTATTTTTGATGGTCTTTTTATTTATTTGAACACCAGTCTAAGTCTGCTACTTCTGTTTTTGTTAATAATAATGCTATTTCTACAGTAATGTCACCAACCAAAGAAAGATTAAAAAAGAAAAATAAAGACTTTGTTGGATTTTATCTTTTGATCTAACAAATATCAAAAGATATTTGTAAGATCAAAAGATATTTGTAAGATCAAAAGATATTTGTAAGATCAAAAGATATTTGTAAGATCAAAAGATATTTTATATCATATCATCAAAAGAAAAATTGGTGCTTTACAAATTTGGGGTTGGTTGGGTTTTGGCTACTTGTAGTGAGTCCTTTTTTACTGCAGTATGGAATAGGCGTAAGTCGCGGGGTAAAGCATAAGTGGCGATGACGTT